ATCCATTCATGGGTTTTTTAATGGCTATGTTGCCAATAAATATTTGACAACCCTTAACTGATTAAGAGGTAAATAATATATTAACCATGATTATATAATCTGTACTTACTTTTTCTTACACACATTTTTCCTGTCTCTCTTAGATTTATCCTCATAGTGCTCCAATCACTCACACACAAAGATTTCTCCATGGATTCATATTTTATGTTGTGTATTAGAGTGTTAAGCTAAAAATCAACTTTAGTCTCTAGTTAAACTGTAAAAATTTTTTTATTTTGTAAATTTCTCACTAAAAATCTAGTTAAGCCGTAAAACCTTTCTTATTTTGTAAATTCCTCACCAGAAACCAAATAGCCATCCACATGCATAAATTAAAAACTTGGTTGTCACATTCTAATGACAATAGAAACAGATTATATCAATAAGTAGAAAAATAAGAAAATAAAGAATCTGTTATAGATTAAAGTTTAAAATGTAATTTTATTTATCATGTGGTGTCAAATATTGATGTAAAATTTTATTAGGAAAACTAACAATTTTTTGACCAATGGACTAAGGTTTTCAACCAGTTTGACAGAAATTAAAGTTTCTAAATCAGAGTGAAAATAGGTCAATGGCTAATGGACTAATGAGTTTAAGTTTAGCTAGTAATGATCCATGATGTTGGTTGGGACCCGTTTTATCGCGGGTCGGCGGCTAACCAATCCCAAGTCGAAGTTGGTCAGGAAGGACTCAGGACATGGTACTTAATACAGCAAACGAGGTGAATCAGAGACCCAGGAGGACTCTGTAGGTTCCAGCTCCGACGCCGGCGCTCTCATTAAGTAGTCTACGACATAGCCAAGAAGACGATGTCGGCTAGATTGCTGAAGAAAGTTTTGAAAGAACATGAACAACGGAATCAGCAATACGTAGCAGAAGAAGAAGAAGACGGTAAGCGGCGGCTTAACGGCGACGAATCGGACTCGCCACACTCGGGCAGTCGTTCTTCCAAGAACCCATTCGACCTACTCAACGAGGATGACGAAGAGGATAACACTGACGAGGTTTAGTTTCTTAATCTCCTAGCTTGCTGTAATAAGGGTTTCGATCCTTATTTCAATTCCTTGACAATTGCAGTATTTAACCCTTTTCCAGGGGATTTAGAATTTAGCTTTACTGATATAGCTTAGTGGAGTCATTACCATGGCTTATTCTTTCAAGTCAGGCCATAATGATGATCAATATATGACCTTTTCAGAGTTATCTTATTTGGGTATCAATAGCTATGGCCTAGCCAGCATAAGGTATCATATTAATGTAATTTCGATAGCTCATGATTGATATTTTCTGTAGGTAGAGGAGTCAGAAGTTGTAGGTGGGACCTTGGCTGAAAAACAAGAAGTGCCTCCACTGAAAAATACTTCAAAAGCATCTGATAACAAATCAAGGAAAAAGAAGAAAAAGAAAAGCAAGGGTGGTTCTTTGAATTCTTTGAATGCAAATGAATCTGAAAAACCATTGGATGCGGCTTTAGAAACTTTATCTTTGGATGTAAGTTTGTCCAAACGTCAGTCTGGCCCTGCTAAAGCCAAATCAGAAGATGCTGGAGTTTGTGACAATCTGGTCAAGCAAACTGGCCCCTCCATATTAGAAGCAGATCCCAAACATCTTAATGCTGAAAATGAGTTGAAGAGAATATTTGGTTCTAAAGTAGTGAAATCATTTGAGAAAAGCAATCAAAGCAGCGGTCACAGACAGATACGTGGAGGAAGACGTGGAAGTCATCACATTAGAAAGACTATTCTGGTATCTCCGTCAGACCATTGGCCTCGCTGGGATGGGTCTATGTCCATGGAATTTGTGGAAAGCAAGGACGGGTATAATTACTTCAGGTATGACTCCTAGCTCTCTGATAATTGTTAGAGCTAACATTATTGTTTTATTACATTTCTGGCTGCTCTGAGTTTTCTGGTCTTTATTAGAGATTAGGTGCACGCTGCTGACTTCTGAAACAGTAATAGTATCAGTTTGACAATTATAGAATAATCTTAGTTTTTACTTCTATGGTTTTATATGTGGTTTAACTTGTGTCCTATCATCAACTTTGTTGGTATCTTGTAGATACATTTACTCATCTTCCTACGGTGAAGCACAGAGAGCATTTGAAGCTGCCCAGGCTATTCATGATCTGAATGGTGTAGCAAGTGTTCTGATGTATCACCCGTATCACTTAGATGCACTTCTAACAATGGCAGATTATTTTAAATTTGTGGGAGAGCATCAGATGTCGGCAGATTCTATTGCAAAGTGTTTATATGCCTTGGAATGTGCATGGCATCCCATGTTCACCCCCTTTCAGGGTAATTGCCAATTGAAGTACAGTCATGATGCAAACAGGCCATTGTTCAAAGCACTTTTCATTCACATGAAAAATATGGACAGACGTGGCTGTCATCGATCAGCTCTAGAGGTTTGCAAATTGTTGCTTTCACTCGATTCAGATGATCCAATGGGAGCTATGTTTTGCGTTGACTACTTTGCTCTGAGGGCAGGAGAATATGCATGGTTAGAACGATTGTCTGAAGAATATAAAAGTGAGAATTCCTTATGGCTGTTCCCTAATTTTGCATATTCCCTTGCTGTTTGCCGATTTTATCTTGAGAGAGAGAATTCCCCCGATGATGCTTGTCTGGATACCACAAAGGCTACTTCTGCTGATCTTATGAATCAGGCTTTGATGCTGCACCCTGCTGTCCTTAAGAAGCTTGTGAACAAGGTTCCTTTAAAGGACCAGGCATGGACAAATATACTAAAAAATTCCCTTTTCCACTCTGATCAAACGGGGGTTGCATCCTTGGATCACCTGATTAATATTTATGCAGAGAGAAATTATCTCATATGGAGGCTTCCAGATCTGCAACGATTACTTAGAAATGGTGCACAGCTTGTCATTGAATCTCTGGAACAGAACAAAAATGATGCTAGAGATTGGGCTTGTGTGAGAGAAGAAGCATTCTCCTCTGGGAAAAATGAGTAAGTATTTGGATTTAATTATTCTATAAGAAAAGCTAAAATCAAGACGTTTAGGCATTAAAAATGTTTGGACATCCAATAATGGCCACATGATGAATTTGATATAGTTAGGGCCCACACTATTTTATCTCTTTGCAATGTTTGGAGTTCCCTACTGTTAATTTTTGCCGATAGCAAGTACGTTTGCTATATGTGTAATGATTACCAAGAAATAAACTCATGCATTGCAAGCGTCTCTGAGGCCAAATCTGAAGTAGCATTTTGAAATAGAGGTCTTTGGGTTTCTTAACTTGTTAGATTAGCTAAGGTTACTAATAGTAATGCATAAAAGTATCTGACAATTTAATTTATGTTTTCATTCCTTGGCCAGGTATGCTCATTTGTTGGTTCAGGATTTTTCAGACACGGTGCCAACTCTTCCACCTGATAACCTACAAAACTTTATGGTCGATCCAAGGGCAGGTTTGCAGATTGCTGACGATGCCGCCAATCCACTTGATGCTGACCATATTCCACTACCGAGGGACATAGCAGATGGCAATCCATTGGCTGTGTTGATTGAATCAATGCTACCATGGATGAACTATGGTGATGCAGGAGATGTTGCAGCTATTGATGGAAACCAGCATGGCCATGACCAAGAAGATGAAGGTGATTGAGGGGCTATGTTATAGAGAGTCAACAGAAAACTAATTTCATTGTATCCAATTTTTGTTGATGAACAGTTCAGCCGGGGCAATAGCTATTCCATGTATAAAGAATACCGAGGCAAATCACGATTAATCGCAATTGTTGTTATCCTGAGAATTTCGTTGACATTGTTAAGCATCCTGAAAGAACCAGGAATTGATTCCGTTCTTTTGCCTTTTGGCCATGGATTACAATTATTACTTTGACATAGCATTTAAACGTAGAAGTGAAATTTCCATTGTTTCCTTTTCATACTTTTTATCTTTAGTTCGTCTTTAATCCTTCATCAAGCAATTTTTAAATAGTAGCAACTAGCGAGCTGATTTCTTTGCAAGATATATCCTAAGAAAGCATGTGAATCAAAGAATACTCGGGTTTATGGACTACTAAGTCAGCGCAACAAGTTTTCATGTAAAGCAACCAATTTAGGACGCGTACATCAGATGCTGGAAATTCAAGTTTCTCAATTTAACATCAAAATATGACCCCAATCATACTTATGATGGAAGTTCCTTGGTCAGTCTACCAGTGACTTACCAATTAAATCAACTTGATGCTATCTGTTTGCTGATATAAGCACGGTAGAAGTGACGGTAGCAATGGAGATATCACTTGCTCAATAGGTTGTTCAACCAATAAAAATCCCATGAACGAATGGCCCGCTCCGGCCTAGTGGTTTTGGAACCTGGGTTAGGGCTATTCACCTCCGTAGGTTGCATGTTCGAACCTCACGGAACTCCTTTTCCTCCTCCCCCAATTATCACTGTAAATAATTACAAATTGGTCAAAAAAAAAAAAAAATCCCATGAACAACTCACTGATCAAGACATCACGTTAGTATTTGGTGTGAGATCATCTCTTCCTGACAGATTGTCATGCCATCTTCAACAGGAACCTATAAAGCCAGAAAGTTTGAGGTCGCCAAACAAATGGGAATTGTCCATCAAGAATGAATATATGGCATATGTATTCACCATACTAATGCTTACACACTTGTCCTCGATCCGATTTCTATTAAAATTCCTAATGGTAATAGTTTTTGGGTCGTTCATCTGTAAGAAAAGGCATCATTATAAAATAAGCTCCATTTGAAATACAAAGTTAACTCATCTTAGCCAATTATTTTCCTTTGGGTCAGCAACTTTTCCATGCCAAAGGACACTATCAATTACTATTGCTCCTCCAACCTAAACCTGTAAAAAGAGACAAACTTTATAATGTCAAAGCGGCTGCCAGAGAAGTGTGTGAAATTAACAAAGGAAAGAGAGGTTGAACGTTTTGTTTTGGCATTACCAGTTGTAGAAAGCAACTCATAGTATTCTTGATACATTCTCTTTTCAGCATCAACAAATCCAAAATAATAGCTGCTTAAATTAGGAAAAAAGGTAAGTTAATTACTTCAGAGCCTCACAAACTGAAAGTGTCTATGCAGAATGCGCGTATGAACTTGTATCAAGGGAGAGCAAAAAGGAAGATCCAGTGAGATCAATGGAGACAATCTCCAGTGACAAACTGTTGTTCTTCAGAAGAAACGATTCATGCAGAAGAATGCTGAAAATTAAAACTACTATTATGAAAAATATTTGGGTTGAAAAGACGCATCATTGTTTGAAAAATCACTTTACTGCTTTCAGCTGTTGGCTTCACCATTCAAATTCAGTGATATTAAGGCATTTGCTGGTAGTCCACATGTTTCAGAATTATCTAGCATTAATAAACAATGTTAGTGCCACGCAGATACCACTTCAACATGTATTGAGTTGCACAGACGTCTGAAGAGTAGCAATTCCTCTTGAGATGAATAAACAGGCGTCTGAATTTCCTTGCCGTAGAGTCAGCTCTTGCAGATAACGACTGGAATTGCGGCAGTATAGGGTCATCTCTGCGTAGAAAAACAGCCGCAGCAATAACAGCGCAGTGGCACGCTAACATAGGGCACCGATTAATCACCGCCGAGGCTGCCTGCCATTCTCACCGGAGACATGGAAGCTGAGGATAGCAACAGGGATTTGGGTTCTAGTGCTTCCTCAGTGTAATGGGTCGGGTCGGGTTTCTGATGGGTCGAGCAGAAGAGAGGGAAATGGATAGAAGAGCGCCAACTGTCCCAAAAAAAATCAAACCTTTCTTCATTCCCCACTGAAACACGTCGTGGCCGTCTAGATATGGCGGTTGCTTCTTGATTCTTCAGAGTCTGGGGCCGCCTTCTGCTTTTCTACTTGAATTTCTCCTCCGTTTTCGTTTTCGATTCTTGCACTGGTTCAATTTCTGAACTTTTGTTCATAATACTCAGTAATTAGTGACACCCATCTCTGGAAAAATATGGATTTGGCATTGGCATTTGCTACTCAATTATGTCCTGCTTCGGCGAAAAGAACTATTCATGAATTAAAGCCTTTCAGCATGAACCCTGGTGCTGCCGTAAAACTGTCTTTTCATAAGAAGTTTTCATGTTCAGTAGCTGTGGCTCCGGACAGGATTCGGGTTCGCATTCTTTTCCCTTTTGGTTTTTTTGGGTTTACTTTGCTGTCCATTTCAGTCGAGTTTTCAAGCGCTTTTGCTTGGGTTTTAGCAGGTGTCTGAGGTTGAAGTAGAGAACAAAAAGCATGATCTTCTTAGAGCTGTTCAGGAGACGCAGCGGGGGCTTGTCGCGACCGCTGATCAGCGCTCTGTCATTGAGGAGGCTCTGGTCTTTTCTTTCCCACAAGATGAACTTAGCTGAAAAATAGGTGTAAATTGTGGAACAAAAATGCTTTTTATCAATTTTCTTACTGCATTTGTTGAGCAGGTTACTGTGGAGGGATACAACATGGGTGAACCAATTGAGCTGGGGAAGCTGGATGGGACATGGCGCCTGCAGTATACATCTGCTCCGGATGTCCTTATTCTTCTGGAGGCTGCTGCAAGACTCCCTTTCTTTCAGGTATCAATTTCTCCCTCCATCACCAGGAAAATTGAAATCTGAATTTTGCTTCTTTTTACATAGAATGAAAATTTTCTTTAAAATGAAACCTTAAATTTAAGGACTTAAGCGATAAAGGATGACATTTTTATGGGAAACTATCTCACTGAGGTGGGAATGAGGGAGAATTAAATATATGTTTATGGCATTGTCATTTTTTGCAGTATCATGAATCCTAATAGTTTCATGTAACATGTCTTTGGTGCATGAATGCTGGGGTAGGTTGGGCAGATCTTCCAAAATTTTGAATGTCGAGATCAGTCCAGAGGAGGTGTAGTGCGTAATGTTGTTCGATGGAGTATTCCAACCTTGTTAGAGGTGAACTTCTAGTCTTCTAATTTCAATTTCTCCAGCTGTGAGCCTAGGACTATCTTTTGAGAGTGTTAACTTTCTTGGCTAAAATAAAAGACACTGAATCACAGTTAGCATTATGCTCTTCCATGTGGATTTCATACTTTTCAGGAACAAGAAGGTGCTACTCTGGTTGTTTCTGCAAAATTTGATGTTGTTTCTGCACGGAACATCTATCTTCAGTTTGAAGAGGTAAGCTCTCATGTCCTTTGTGAACCATAACTTCCATTTGAAGCCAAAGAAAAAGGAATCATATATAGTTTCAGTGCCCAATAAACAACCAGTTGTGTTTTTTGGCTCCCTGTAAATAATGAATGAATTTAATTGTCTATAGACCAAAATCTTCTATTTTTTCCAATCTGACCATTTAACTTGCATATAAGCAACAGTGATGAAAAATAAAATAAAATGCTTTTAGCCCTTCCTTGCTCCTCTCATTCTTAATCCATTTCTCTGTTTAGTACATATAGTATTAGAAAATGTGATGTCAGGTTTCAGTAGGCTCTTGTAATCTTAGTTCTTGTCTATAGTAAGGGGATTGACATTTAAGGTCCTCTGAAGATTTAAGAAAACTAATTGGCTCTAGATATTTTATTACCCCATATTTCTTTGCATAATCTTAAACATTCCAAGTTAACATTTAAGGTGATTCTTAGGTGATTTAAAGTGCTTTTGTTAACCTTTTTTGAGACATGTTAATGCATCATACATTTGAATTTCTTAATGACTGGGTTATTTTTACCACCCTTTGTCTAAAGCAGTAGCCTCATGTCCCAATTCCTGCTTAAAATGATTCATTCAGGTTTCATAATCAGCCTTAATATTTACTGTTCCTTATGGTATCTGAAATTGCTCCATGCTCAAGTAGTGGAAATACAACAGTGGCACTGTTTCTTTATTACAAAAATTATCTGAAGTATGCCAGTTGTATTTTGCAGATAAAAGTTCAAGATATAAACATCAGTGAGCAGCTACAGGCTCTAATAGCTCCAGCACTCCTTCCAAGATCATTTTTAAGTCTACAGGTGCATGTCATTCAACAACTTTCTTGTTTCGCATTGCTTGATCTTGAGCTCCGTTTGCAACTTTGTGCATTTGATGTTTGGTTCCACATTTAGTTGGTATTTGCAAATCTGGATCTGATTCTTTACTTTCGTTTTTATCAACCAACCAATCAGTTCCCATCAACAATTTAGAGCTCAAGAAGCACAATTGTATAGATGCTTTGATGCTTCATCCTATTAGACGGTCTAGTATTCAAGCAGAATTGTCTGCTTAAATTGTAGAAACTATTATTAATTTGTATGATTTCTTTAAGAGTACCACGAATGTTTACATGCAGATACTGCAATTCATTCGCACATTTAAAGCTCAAGTTCCTGTAAGACGCCCGGAGAGGTATATCTCATGTCCTCCATGGTATAATAGTTCTTAATGCTCTATGTTCATCATGTGAATGGTTTAACATTTTAACTGCAGGAGATCAGTGGGAGGACTATATTACCTCTCATATCTTGATAGAGATATGCTCTTAGGCCGAGCTGTTGGAGGTGGGGGAGTATTCGTGTTTACCAAAGCTCAACCTCTCAAGTTATAAAGAACAAGTTTGATTTATTATCTCTTTTAAAGCAACCTTGAGATTGGTAGTCCAGAACTACTCTTGTCAGGCCTAAGGTGTTGGAAGCGGGACTGCCACCTTCTACAGAACAAATGGAATTGGCCACTGCCATAATCATTAATCTTGTTTTCTTCATATCTTGTGACATGTTGATACAGAAGTCACTTAGACCCTTTCCTTCTAAAACATCTGTTTCCTTACTAGTTGTATCCCCTATGCATTGAACACGAAAGCATTTTGGAGCAAACATGAATTTTGTAGTGAACTGAAAATTAAGCATTGACAGCTTCAACACTGCATCCGAATGCTCTGCCTTTCAGACCTGTATTGTGTATACCTCCGCTCGGCGAAATTCCTGCTTCTTCCTCACCTCAGGTCATTCTGATTACACAAACTAACATCCTCGTTTCTGGGTTCCTGTCAACATAACAATAACAAGAGAGCCCGGAAAAGGGTACAGCGGGCACTTCCTGTTGCATCAGAACATTACTTACGGTT